TTTTTTAAATTTAAATAAATCTTACATATATATATATATATACAGAAGTTTCATTGGGATTTCGTTAAACCAACAAATAGAATCGTTATATATTCATAAATATGAATATGAACAAATAAAATTTAAAAAAAAAGAAAAATAAAGTAAATCAATAAATAATAATAATAATAATAATAATATTAATAAAAACTCTGGTATAACGAATCCATAAGTAAATAAGGTAAATAAATAAATAAATAAATAATTACAAATAGTAAAGCACATTGGGTTCGACGTTTGAAAAAATATTTTTTTGCATTGCGACCTACAATTCACCTGTACTCGCGAAACTCGTCTAGCTCGTTAGAAAACTTTAATTGAATAAAGGAAAATAATATTTAGTCTTCATTAAGTTAACGAGCATATACCTCCTTTCCCCACTCCCTTTCTCTCACCTCCTTTCCCTTCTTCCCTTTTATCTCTCTCTCTCTCTCTCTTTCTGTCTGTTCTTATCTTTCTTTATCTATCCCTTACCTTTGTTACTTTTCATTCTCGTTTAACTTCTTGCACCAATTGTTTCCATCCCTACGGGTACAAACAGGTCAACCGTATTTGGAATCCTTACGATTAACCTTTACAAAGTCGCAACTATGTCGACCCATCGAGATTTAAACTCGATGCCCAATTAAAGGCTTACTAAGATTAACGCGAATGAGTATTCAAAGCCACGCGCGATTCCCTTCAACCCTACACCCAATCCCCCACCATCTTAAAGTGTGCCCTTTTAATCTGACGATCCTAATGCGCAAAGAAAAAGGTTTGCGGTTAAGAAATTTATTGAATAAGATTAAATAACTCTGTCTCGTTACTGTTATTATTATTTTGTTTGAAATATATGAGTAATAGATCTTATTCATATTTAAGAAATTTATTTTATAATATTAATTTATTATTTATAATAATATATATATATAATTATATAATTTAATTAATATTAATTAAATAATTTAAATTACTATTATTATTTAATATTAATTTTAATATTAATGTTAAGAAAAATATTTTAATAATAATTTTCTTTCGTTTTCCTTCGTATAAATTTCTAATCCTGATAGTATGATAAAAAAGAATGCAAATATTAGGAAAAACAAAAAGTTCGTCGAATTGATTTATAAAAATATGTTTTCTTCTTTCTTTTTTTCTTTCCTTTTTTTTTTCTTTTTTTTTTTTTTTAACTAAAGCATCTATTATAACGAACAATATTTATTTCACGAATACAAAACGTTGTTTTTTTTTTTGGAAATAAAGTATGGGTATTCATTGCTCATTTTCTTTTCTTCTTTTCTTTTTTCTGGTTTGACAAATGTTTAAACATTAATTGAAAGAAGAAGAAAACAAAAATAGAAAGTTTTAAATTTTATTAAAAATAAATACGAGCTAATACGAATAACGAATAACTTTTATTCCGTTTTAAATTTTATTAAAAATAAATACGAGCTAATACAAATAACGAATAACTTTTATTCCGTTTTAAATTTTANTTAAAAATAAATACGAGCTAATACAAATAACGAATAACTTTTATTCCGTTTTAAATTTTATTAAAAATAAATACGAGCTAATACAAATAACGAATGATTTTTATTCAGTTTGTTTTGTTTTATTTTTTTTTTTAAATAAATCGAACCAATTGAAAGAAAGCTGTTACAAAAAATTAACTTGTTATTCAAATATTCCAATCGCAAAAGAAAAATAGAGAGAGAGAGAGAAAGAGAGAGAAATAGAGAAACGCCCACACACATACACATGAATTTAAACGTGAACGATTAAAATTTATATAAAATCCACGAACGAATCTATCTTTGATAGTATCTATTAAAATAATCTTCAGCCTACTACACTCGTCGTGATTTCGAGAGAGAGAAGATTTATATTATATATTTTATTTATATTTTTTTTTTTTTTTAATTCTCCTTTCAAACAAATTCGAATATCTTTTTTAACATCATTCAAAATCTCTCCTCTTGAATAATATTTTACGAGGTCAACTATAAATATAGTTTATAATATATAACTTATATACTTAATATACTAATATATATATA